ATTTGCAATAGTATTGAGTTTTTCTTTTGCACTATACATGTATACATATACTTAATTACTTTTTCTTTTTTTTTTTTTTAGAATGGGTGCAATGGGAGACTTAAATATCTGCCCAACTTAATAATGATTTATATACTTGTAACAACTGTATGGAATTAAAGACAATCAATGGAAAATACATTTGTATAAAAAGCATTATTAGTTTTTTTTAAAAATTCTTCCTACGCTTGAACGGTTTTTAAAGCCTTTTTCATACGCGTTACCCCTACAAGGATGAGGGATTAATTGCTTTATTTCAAAACATTTGCAACACCCGGAAAGAAACTTCAGAGGCCCTCCAATATGCTTATATTCTTAATCAGTATATGAAATTCTGAAAAGATTTCTATATATAAAATACATACATATGTCCATCCATTATAGCTGTAAATGAAACTTTAGTTGTTTTCCTTTCTTTTATGATCACTACGATAGAAGATTCGGCCACAATCCAATATAATTTTCTTACTTGCCTTAGTTGTTGGTAGTTATTTCCCAATATTCTTAAAGCATGTTTTGGCGAACGTATATATCGAATGCAAACGAAAGATGTTGTGAAGCAATGTTAATAGATGAAATTGAAGAAAAGTTATAGAAGAAGAAAAAATTGCTAAAAAAAAAAACTAAAACCGAGTAACACTCGTTGAGAAACTTTAAAACCAAACTAAAGAATGTAAAGGGGCGTGAGAAATAGATAGAGGAAAGATAGAAAAGAAATGCTACTTGTAACCAAATATTCGTTGATTTCAAAGAAGAATGGCTAGGAATGAAAGACTGACTGATAAACGAGTTGAGTTATGACCACAGAAAAAACCAACATTGAACTTAATGATGAGTTGTCCAGTCGAAAATTGATCTATTAGTAAGAACTATGGCTTATAATTAAATTCATTTCTTCTTCATTTTCAAGAAGTTTACTAAAAATAATTAAGATTTATAATTTTGTATATGATAATTGCTTTAGAAAAAAATATATGTGTCTTTAGAGCTTTTATTTATTTTCTCGAATAAATGAAACCTTATGGGGAATTCTAGATCTGCTATACTAAGGAAATCCTTATATATATATATATATATATATAAAAAGAAGAAGAAGAAGGTGAAAAATAGCAATGGTTTTAACGCTTCATCTTATTGCCAACAACAAAAGCTTTTTGCTTACCACAAATTAAAGACGATCGATTCATTGAGTGGTTAAGGTCAGCTAACCTATGAAACATATAACCAGAGTGCGATTTAATCTCCCACGTAACGTCATAATCATTTCGACTGTGAGCTGAAGCGTAAGTTTTAGAAATTAAGATAATTGAGTAAAGTGATAGCACATAGAAAACATATTTTTTTAATTGATTTTAAGAGACGTTACTTATATAGATTGATTACATATGGCTGATGATTATGAATACACTGGCAATTAAACAAAACTGTTGTAACCATAAGATAGATGCGTCACAGAAATGTTGAATGGACTTTCATTGGCGGCAGTACGTTAGTGATGGATGGATATGTGCGTATTATAGCTATTTTTCTTCATCTGCAGAAAAAAAAATCCAAAGCAAATTATTTCTGAAAGAGAAAATGAACATTGATATGATGAATGCTTCCTAAGGTAAATAGAAAGGCCTTTTTGTATGAAACTCAAATTCGCCATAAGCCGTAAAAGGTTAAGACGATTAAAAAGAATCGACGAAACGAACCACGAACGAAAGGAAGTTGAAGAAAATTCGATGAGAAGCATGCAAGCAGAAATGCAAACAGCAGTTGATTAAAGGCATATGAAATAAGCAGATTTCATCCAATATAAAAAACCGCATGTATTTTCATTGAGTTATTAATGGAAAATCATGAAAATTACACATCTAACTTGATCCGCCGGCTCAATATGAAGACAGGTTCTCTACTGTAGGTTCACACAATTTATTTATTTATTAATAAGAAGAATTTTACAATTATTTCAACGGTATTTAATTAATCGTTTTCGTTCTGTCCTCGACCTTGACGGATCGTATTTCATGCCTCACAGCATTTCGGCGCATGGATCCTTACAAATTTACCATCTAATGATAACGAAAGGCTATTACAATTTTCTATAGGTTATATAATTATTGATCTTATACGAAGGTTACAGTTTGCTAGAAATTTTCAACACACTTCCACAGTGTGAGACCGCCACCGTTAACACGGTGAATTTTAACAGTGTCTAAAAGGTTTCGTTCGATTTGTTTCATTCCAAGAATTCGCTTCTCGTGATTACGTAAACACAGTGTAGTAGTAATGTAAATATTAATACAATAATAGTACTTCACGCTATAGTGCTTATGCAGTGCTTGTGCAGATCGAGGATACAACACAAAGTTTGCGCGATGCGTATGTGCTTGGGTAGCAGTAAGTAAATTAGCGTACCGACAGATTGCATGCGTTGCTACAGCGAAATCATATGATTAACGTTTATTTATATAATCGCTTGTGAAGAGGTACAAAATGCATAAAGTGAACAATGCAAGTAAAGGACGAAAGAAAAAGAAAAAGTGCTCTTCGGGAGACGGGAGACAACAGACTTAATTATTTCTGGTAAGTTCACACTATAGTTAATAATATACACACACATTGAAGGCAAATTGATTATTTGGATTTTAATAATAGGAATCGTGTGGAGGCATTATCCTCGACGCCCTATATAAAAATCAAAATGTCGATGGATTATTAGTGATCGCCTTCGACCATATGTGTTATAGTGATGACGAGCAATTTAATGTGAATGTTCCCATAACTCTTGAAATATTTGATCTTTTTCTAAATTGGACGGAGAAAATGATGTTAACAATATCTTCGTATAAATTATCTACATCTGCCAAGTGCCGTTTTCTCCTAATATATGACAAACATTTTATAATATTTTTGTTCTCTCAGGAACGTACCCAACATTTTCTGCTAACAATGTGCGATGCAAAGTACACGATTAGTGCAACTGACATCGGAGCTTAGGGATCTCAATGTAACGTTAGCATTATGTACCATACGGAGTTTGGGAGACGCTTGCTCCATAATCGACTACATCCAGCTGAAACTAACGTCATCATGACCTGCATATCGAGTTTTCGATTTCCGATTTTGCGAGCGATTTCCGATTGTGGCTTTTCCCTGGGACTCTGTTTGTTATCCCAAGGGAAGGAAAGTCTCAATAATAGATTATCCCGGGGAAAAAGGACAATCGAAAATGCGTTCGATGCATTGGTATCATGACGCCGGAGAAAGGCTGCAGCTGTTTGAATGCATGACAGCATATAAAATTATACAATTATGTTTTCTCTTTATAAACACATCAGTGTGTGTGTTGTGTTTTTTTGCTAGAATTTGCTACAATGTCGCATTAACGGACAACGCATAACGCAAGCATTATGTTTGCGCCTTGTAAATACTTATGTCGAATTGTTTGCATAGATTTGCTATGCATGCATATGAGCTATATAAAATATTTACATATATAGGTATATAATCACTTTAAAAATCTATAAGAGAAATTATAAAAATTTGAGAAAAAAATGGCTTTATGAGTGTATAAAAAGTGCATGAATTTGAGATTGAAATTCACGTTGAAGTATCAGACAAATATTTAATTTGTAAAATTTCGCAGAAAAATACATTTAGATACCTTATCAATATATTAATAAATATAAGTGCAACTGAATTATATGCGTTCGCTTGAATATATATATATATATATATATATATGCAATGCTTGTGCATAAGCTGTATCCTCAACACATTTGTCGAATTCGCAAGCACACTATAACGCTTATATGTGCATATGTCATATACATTTCTCTAAGCACACGAAAGAGAAACGAGTTTGTTTGATTTCAAAGAGTAAACAATAAAAAAAATAGAAAAATAGTTTATGCGACACTTATTCCTCGCCATGTTATTGATCAAAATAACTGATGCAAGCTCTTTTGTTATTCATTCTCTTTATGATAAATGATAGCCGCTGTGTTCGATCATATGGTTTTTCTCTTTTTTTCTTTTTTTTACTCTCAATTGTTTCTACTACGGTGGTGCCAACTACCGAAAATATGCGTAATACTGACGTTATGAGAAAAAATCTGTAGGTGTTTTCATCAACTTGACATGATAAATATTACATCAGATTAATATCGTAAATAACTCTAAAGGTGTCTTCATCGCTTATATATTTTCTAATTGGGTAGAACACTAAATTCTTTTTCTTTTACATCTTTTTCTAAAGTCTTTTCTTTATTGTACGTCTCTTCATCACATTATTGCGTTCGGTAATCAGCTTAATTCGCTAAAGTTGTGGACTTACAGTGAATTTCATTAATTAGTTTATTTAATCGCAATTTGGGTAGCGCGCATAATTGCTTTATAACAAGACCGCAAAACCGCAAAGTATATTATGTTTAGAAATCCATTCATATGTGTATATTTGTTTGTAAAGCAATAATGTTACATAACGAAATATAATAATTTTGTAATTCCTTTCACTCAAATTTATGCCCATAATATATATATATATATATATATATATATATACGCATATTGCTATTTACATATTGCCATTTAGATAACGATAAATCCATATAGTATAACTATGATGGAATATATCAATCCGAAACAACTCAAATTAAGTTTATAAGTTAATTAGGTAGATGATTTTTACGGTATAAGTGTTTTAATCTACTTACAGCTAAAATGTAGTTAACTTAAGCTCATCCCCACTTTATATTCCCAGCACCATAATTTAATTTTAATTTATCCCATTTATAAACCACAAATTCTGATATGCTGACCAGCCTATGCCACGTAAAGCAAAGCCATGCAATTATTTCTTATAATTTAAGTTAAAAGTGAAAAAGCTTAAAAAGAAAAACAAAGCAGATAACACGATAACAATATATATATATATATATATATATATATATATATGCATGAGTATATTTTTAAAGTTTATTAAGCCGTAAAAGCCAGTGTTTCGGTTGTTGACAAGCCATAACAACACAACATAACATTCGGCTTTCAATTCATTTTTATATTAATTATCTCTGTAAAAGTTTAGTGTTATTTCTTTTGTGAATTATAAAAGAGTAGCGGCAGGTATGGCGCGTATAGTTGAAGACGTATTTGGTACGGCCGTTAATCCGCTCACCGAAAAAATCGAGCAAATTAAACGTTTTACATTGGCGAACAGTACGGAAATGTCAGTGCAGGTAATATAAAAATTCCTTACGAAAGGTAGAACGCAGTACAAATTGAACAATTCGAGCTTGAGACGATAAAGAATATGTTATTCAATAATTCCTACTTGCTTATGTTACTTGTTGTACATGATGGTCGGATATGTTTAAGAAAAAATTTTATTAAGCAATATTGTCTTGATCACACTAGATCGTGTTTCCAATCGATTTTTCAGGATCGTCAACATTGTTGATTTTCGCTTTGAATGAAAGAGTTATTCGCCAATAGCGATTATTAGGTCTAGACAAAATAACGAATAAGCCCTAGAAGTTTAACATATATTTGACCATAATTTACGTGTGAACTAGTCATCAAAAGGTCACCTCAAGTCGAGTGCTCCCTTATTTATTTTACTTATCTTATGCTACTTATTTACATATGCATTAATGGATCTACTTTTTAGCAATGAGAGATTTGAGATGGCTTTCCCGTTCCTAATGCTCAATGATATTAATCTGTATAAAACATACATATGTATATATATATTTCTTGTAGATTCTTTATAAGAGTGCATTCCTATATCGTCCATTGCTTTCTGTTGTTAGAATGCTCTCTAGCTTAAAATTTGATATAAAAGGGTGAAAAAATCACAAACATATCCCAATTTGATCGTAAATTAAGTGCAGGAATAGATGCCATCTAATCAAAACTAAGCAATATATACATATATACGCTATATATATATATATATATATGACATCATAATGTACAAGGGTTCATCGAACGACCTTAACGAACCAAAATACTTTTGTTATAAAATAATGGATTGACGTATGTGTTTAATCATCTTATTTCGTTGGATTCATCCATAGAAAGTATTGTCAAAGGAGAGCGAGAGATTTACGCGACTGCTCAAGTTATTTGGATATTTTAAAGAAAAGCGTTGCACATGATTTTTTAATACATATATGCAATTTCAAGGTCGTCATGCATAGCTTTGTTGCTGGAATCCTAAACGAGGGCGAATAAAGGTTTTCTGGGTTTTCAGTTGAGTTACTGCCGCTTAACTTTTGTCTAGTCTCTCAGCATGGACCTTTGGTCAATATATGAGCTGAGATTTTTTTTGTTTATTGCTCTGTTGATCTACAGCAGATTAATTTACAAAAATATGAACGCATATTCTGTGGGCAACGGCGTAGTACCTACTCCTACTCAATATTATAGTGCATTAAAATTTAATTTTTTTTTCAATACCTTTCAGAAACCGCATAAAGTATACAAATTCTTGGCCAACCTCAAACTCGTACCGCACCTAAGCGCGTCCATCTGTCTGTTTGCTACTCCGTCCACATATCGGTCTACCCAACTATGTAGTATCTCTCATTCGCAAAAGAGTTGGAAAATGGTGCAATTAGGTCAAAGAACTTGTCTATATGACCAAAGCTGAGAATACCTTTGCTTTCCGTGTTTTTTTCTCGTTGCTCATAAATTACAACAAACACACGATATAAATTTCTATAAAATTATTCTACAGTAACATCAAAAATCAGCCACGCGCACCCAATGTTATGAAATATGCAAATTTATAATATATAAATGTAAAAGAATCGGTCGAAACCGAATATAATTTTCTTACTTATTATTTTTCTTTTAGTTCGAGTGCAATAATGAACAAGTGCCTTCGTCTAGATAAACAGACCTATTTGATGTGTTCGTAAGTGCGTTTGATCGCGAAAAATGAATGAAAAAATCTCTCTTTCATATATATAAATGTATAAATAATAAGGCTTTAGTTGCGTTTTGAAATCAAGACCTGAGGGAATTCTTGCTCCCATGCTGTCGCTGCCTTTTAAATAACATGAATAGTGTTTATTAAATTAGTTGACCTCAAGGAATACACGAGATTTACTTTCATTCAAAGACGACGAGAGTATTATTCGCTACTTCTTTAGCTCTTTTTCTCTGGTTTTATTTACTTTTTCACCCTTTTTCGAGAATTAGCAAATAGTTTGGTAAAAAAGAAAGCAATTTTTTTTTTTTTTTTTTCATTACAATTTGTGTTTATTTATTTATTTATTTATTTTTTAAATTCATTCAATACCGAACGGTGGTATGCTTTTTATGCAGAAGTCAATAAATAAAAGAAAAAAAAAAAAAAACACAAATCGTATTATGTTACACATACTCTAAAAGAAAACTAATTAACTTAAGTTTTCCTTATCAATTATTTACTACTTCTTTAGAAAGCAAGAAAAAAAACAACAAAAAAAAAAAAACAAAAACAAAAAACAAAACAACAAAAGAGACGGAAAGCGAAGGTATTCATTAACTTTATAAAGTATGATTATGTTTTGCTTGTAAGGGTTAAAAAATCTGTTTTGTTTAATTTAAAATTTATAGACCATTTAACCTGAATTTAACGGCACTATAAACAAGGGGTTAATTAATTTGACATCTTTGTATAAATATTTAATAACAATTGAGCAATAGTTTAGTGCATTGCATGAAGTGTTCTTGAGATGAGAAATTTTTTTAGTTTAAGCAACATTAATAAAATAAATCACATTTACATTATGATATAAAGCGCTATAAAAAACTCATTTCTCAATCAAATTCTAACTATCATAAGTATATTTATTTATCACAAATTAATAAGCATTTTACTGCAATACGTATGCAGGTAAACCTATTGTTGTTGTGCTATAGATAAAGACTGCAGAAAAATTCCCCAAAAAACACTATATTAAATCCCTAGCCTGCAATTATTACATATAATGCCTTTTCACAATATGATCTTATATCGAAAAAGTGATCTGATCTCTCTCTGTTCATCAAAATATCTCAAAAATGGCCTCCCATAAATCAAGTACAAGAAAACAATACGGGCAAACGGATAGACTGACAGACAAGCTTAGGTTGATTCGGAAGGCGATTTGGATTAAACGGTATAATGAAAACCCTTCTGAGTGTTGGATCATACGCGCAAACTTACTACACTTTCCTACAACAAGTGATGTAGGATATCAAAATATTCACAAATTTCTTAACTAATTATAGGAAATGATTTGTCGCAACATACTAGAGAAAAATAGGGCCAAGTGTTTTTCCAAGCAAACTAGATAATTAACCAAAGAGTTTGAAAAGTTTTAATATCGTATTTGAAACGTGGAGATATTTTCAAAATATAGACAATTAAATACAAGTCGACCTAGTCTACCTGTCTCTCTCTCTCTCTCTCTTCCTCTTACGGCGCATGAAAAAAGTTGCGTAAAACAAATCGCACAGCAAGTTACAAAACAAAGAAAAATCGCATAAAAAAGATCGCACAAAAACAGATTCAACATGACAACATTCATTAGGTTTTAATGGCATTTGCAATATTATATAGCGTACTGTTAACTGATTTAATGAGTTCATTAAGCATGCTGACTGACTACGAATCTGAGGTAGCAGAAATAGCCAAAAAAAAATGTAAAGTTTCAACTTGTACCTAAGCAACATGTTTGTTTTCAATTGAATATTGGTTTAAAATTTATAGATCGATTTTTCTTTTATAGTAAAATTTATGATGGTCTTAAGATTATTCCAAGAAAAAAAAATAAAAAAACTTTTTTACAATTTCCAGCAAAAACTTGAAACGAAATAAATAAGTAAAACGGAGAAAAATAACAAGTAAGAAATTGATATTCGTCTCTGACCGAATCTTTTGCACTCGTCATCTTTTTCTAATAAATGAAATATTGATTATCTAATATATGGGACAAGTAGGATAATCCACCCAACGTACGCAAGAAATTTTCATATCCGCTGCCATCCGAAGAATGAGAGTGTCCTTATGTTGTTTGAACATGCGGGCGACCTGTATAGTTCAAATTCTGAATCGATCCAAGCATATCTATCTGCCCACCTACTCACCTGCCCATTCGCGTAATTCTGTCGGTCGCAAAAAATGAAAATATCGCGTGTAAACTTAGTCTAAACATTCGAAGTTCTTTCACGCTGTTTGATATTAAAGATGGGCCAAATTGGCCCAAGAATAAGCCGGCAGTGCAATATAAACCGAGAACAACTCTGCTTTCTGGGTCTTTTGCTCGTTCCTTAAAACCCACCCTACAGGCATATGAAAAAGTCAATCACATTCACCCAATATTACAGAGTACGAAAATTTAGTTTTTTGCTTTCTTTTATTTTTTTTCTTCTTTTTTTTTTAAGATAAAAAAGGTGTGTATAAAAGATTTGGTCACTCCTGAACATAAATTTTCTTACTTATTATCGTTGTATTTGTCGTTTAGCCGAGTAGATAAGAGTCGCCACTGCTGATAGCTATAGTGAATGCTTAGTCGGTAAAGACATGTGCACTTACCGATTAGCCTCTCCTCCAATTTCTTACACTCTTTTCTCACTTTTTTTGATCATCACCTTGTTACAGCTGTAGAGGACAGATGGACAAAGATATATACTTAGATCGATTCAAAGTTTGACGCTGATCAAGACTACATATGCTTTGTAAGGGCTTTGCATGTATCCTTATCCTTTAATGGTGAGTATATGTATCAATTATCTTCCGTTCAGACAAAGTCGATTGGTCTTTTAACAGTTGAAATTTGATCGATTTCGTTGCTTTTTAATTAACGGGGAAGCACGGGGTGGCGGCTAACTTTTCCCATTTTCAGAGTAAAAGTGAAACTATTGTACTTTATGAGTAATGAGCAAAAACCACGAAAAGCAAAGGTGTTCATTATTTTTGTTATGAAAACGTGTAACCGTTGTTGGTCTGTCCATCCTTCAAATTCTTTTCCCCGTTTTTGTAGGCGATATCTTCATTTCTGTGAATGTTTACCGCGTGTATTGCATTGTTGGGGAGACGGACAGACGCAAAGATGAACCATGGATTTGTATACTTTATGAGGTTTGTGAAGTTTATTTCTGCGTGTTTTAAAGGTATTAAAAAAATATAATACTGGACAGACGTAGATACAACATCATCGCCCATAGCACCCAATTACATTAAAATTTTTGTAGATTTATCTGCTGTGGTTAGTTTATGAGTAAAGAGTAAAAAATCAATTTTTTATTCCTATTCGGTCTCAGTTTACGTGGTATTGCAGAAGTGTCCTTCGATCGATTTGCCCCGATTTGGGACGATTTTAGGTCTACACATGTCAAGCATGGTGTTAGCCAGGATCAGCGTCAAAGTGAAGAATAGATTTAAGATTAATTTCCGTTTAATGTTGAATATATTGTAAAGGAGTAGAGGAGGAGAGGCAGGATATATATATATATATATATATGGATTTTAGAAAATCTTCTAGGCTCGAAAAAAATGTGTGTTCCAAATTTAATATTTACACACACCATCGTTTAGAAGTAATTTAGTATATCTGTATAAACAGAATCTGTTATATATGTGTCGTTATATTAGATATTTGTTACTATACTTAACTAACTATGGTGACTACTAGTCAGTTAGAAAAGAAAAACAGAATTACTTAAGAAATATGAACTGAAGTAATGAAGAAAGACAGAATTTTCTAATAGGCACGACGTAAACGCGACCTTAGATTTAAACTCTCCCATGTCATGAATCATCTTGGAAAGGCACCCGTTCTTCTACTTCTTATCTTGATAAATGCATAAGTGATTAATATTTGTATAAAAGCTTTTATCAATTATCCGAAAATGTGTATAATAATGTGTATAATAAAAGAAAATAGCATAAGATATTCCATTCAAGCTGTTGTTCAACACTAGGGATCATTCACCCTATCTCTTAGGCAGAACATCAATCCTGCGAAGAAAGCATACCGGATATCTATCCAAGGAAGATATCCATTCATTGGCTATCACCATAGAAACGAACGATCTGCTCGAACAGGTAATAAGCCACCGTGTTAATCAGAAGACGCAATGGATAGGGCGACGCATTTCAGGTTAGTTTCTTTAAAGACTTTTGCGTTGTAGGACCACGGTTTGTCAAGTGGATTTTTGTCATATTTCATTCGCTCTTCGTCCCAATTGCATCAGTTGTTATGGATGGATAGCGTTCTCTCGTGATGGTTTTTATTTTCGTCGGAACACACCGTAGTACACTACACGACATTCACTTGATCCGTCATAATGACACTACTATCGATATTTAGCTTTAATGGTTCACCTAATTTGCTTTATGATTATTTCGACTTTCGATATCGTAACGTAAGCTAACGTTTTCATTGATCATTATTTCAAATGATTCAAGACCCATAGGATGCCTGTTTGTTTACTTACGATCCAGCACATTTAATATAACCTTTCTTGATAAGCGCTTTATAAAGCAATTTTTTAAGGTAGTATCTTAAACGTCTCTCCCTTACTTGATACAAAAATCGCCTTAAGAAGAATAAGTGAAAATGACATGTCCGTACGTATAAAGAGAAAAAAAAAAAACCGGAGAAAATAACATACAAGCGTCAAATTCATTTTCGTTTTCTGTCTTTCGGGGTTTTCGCTTCTTTTTTTTCGTTCATTTATACCCACAACAATAGGTATATTAGATTGATTTTCGATATGATTTTACCATATGAAAATATGATCCAGAGATCGAGTAAAGTACATATATTTCTTAATTAGTAAAAGCAAGAGAAAGTATGTTAAGAAGAACAAGTTGCATCTCTTGTTAACCTCTTATTATTCTCGCAAGGAGGAAAGTTTGGAAAATCGCTATAGCTGCCTAGTCTTGTCAACAAAGCGTTCAATTTAGAGCCGCATTTTTCCTTAACGGAAATGGAAATGAAAATTAGTTTAATTAGTAATTACGGAAAGGTGTGGTTTTCAGTTGATACATACGGGCCGATTAAAATATATGTACATGCGATATATACTAAATGTTCAAATGATATCGTGTGAATGGATCCGTGGCTCCATCTATTAAGGAGAAGTGTGTAGTGTGTAGTGTGTAGTAGAAAAGATTCGGCCCAAGCTCAAGAATATAAAATTCTTTTTTGCTTCCCTTTCTCCTTGACAATGTGTGTGTATATATATATATATATATATGTGTGTGTGTGTCTGTTCTGTTGTTACAATATATCAAAAGAATCTCTATAAAACCTTTTTACACGCAATCCCTTTCAAATTTAACTCGATAATACAAACAAAGCCTCTGAAAATACACATCGCAGAATGGCATGCACGTAGAAAAAGAGAGAGAAGAGACTCAGGCTAACTTTAATGGAAAATATCAACAAGAGTAAGAGCATTGAAAAGATAAATAGTGGAGCAAAATGCAATATAGAAAATCTCGAATTTAAGTCTTCTTTCTTTCGTTTTTGCTTTCTTTTTTTTTTTGTTTTTTTTTTTTTCATTCTCACACGTAGACAGACGACATAAGATTAAGGATGGATACCTATCTACGTAACTAAATAAACTATAAAGGCTAAATGAATATTTTTTTTTCTCATTGCCAATCAAAATCCAAATAAAAACAAGCAAAATTGGCTTAAAAAACAATGAAAAATTGAAAATACAAAACTATTTCAAGATACCCTACACACACTCGCATAGATTAAATGTATAGGAATTTATAGGGCAATGGCTTTGCTTTATTTGCTATAAATGTAATCGAAAAACATGAATGTAGAGTAAAAATTGAAGAAATCTAAGAATAAATGAATTATAAATTAAAACATGCATCTCTTACGATGAAGTATTCCTAAGGAGAAGACCTAAACGTTGCCTAGTTGCCGATAGTATTTCTCTTTCATCTAAGTAAGAGCTTAAAGCTTTTACACTCTATGCTTATTTAATAACGACTGGCCATTAACTTCTTACTATGTTCAAAAAAATAAAAAAAATAAAATGAGAGAAAATAAAGAGAGACTCGACTCCCATGCATAGAAAAACATATTGGCCACAAATCTAAACGACAGATGCATTACATTTAGAGTACAATCCTTTTCTTTTTTTTTTTTTTTTAGGAATTTTTTTATCTCTCTCTCTTCTTTGGTTTTTCTATCGTAATTTTCCTTGATTTAAGTAACAATTTAATTCGTTTCCATACATCTGCCCGTAATGCGTACTTTTCTAAATCAAATGACTCTAACAAAAAGAAGAAGAGATTTCAGACTATCGGGACGAATGCGAGAGATGCTTTAGGCAATCATAAACTAGTGTTTAATTGTTCACAAAACAGCTGTTGTGGCTAAACAATCGCATTAGTTTAAAAGTGTTGGGCTCTTTTCCAAGTCGTTGCAAAGATGGTAACGAATGGACTTGATCTATTAGAACGAGCCATAAGCAATAAATTACTTTGAAATCTGAAATAAATCTTTATCTCTTAATTGGCCGCAGCGATAGTTAATCGCCCTCTAGGGTATCCAAAGCAAAATACGACTTAAGCTGACTGCTTGCATTTTCTAAAAAACTCAATGTTTTCTTCTTTTTTTTTAAATAATGCTCCATATTGATCCTTAATCGATCTATAGAAAGATTCTAGATTTTCTTCGTTATTACCGGCCACAGGAAAACAAAACTCTATGCAATGACGAATATGATCTTCGGAATACGATCGTTATAGAATTTAAAGCCAAGCAAATTCTTTGATTGATTACTTTTGAATATCTCTAATACACATCGAAAGCAGTCTGATCTATAAAAATGCGACAATAACATCTAGGCCAAATTGTGTCGGTCAACAATTTCCAGGACTAAGTAAGAAAAAGAAAGATATTTTGTTTTGATGTTAAATTTGTCTTCATTCATCATGATAGTCGCTCCTGCAAGGGTTAAATGGTGCCCTTTTGCTCGACTTTCTGAACTGGTCTTAACGTGCGATTCAAAACTATTTCGCAGGGTCTTCTGACAAACAGATAATTCATATCGCTGGAGAGTAAGATGAATGCGACAGAAACTGAAGCTTCAATGCAGATAATTGTATCATCGGCCTTTGACGCAGTATTGTTAGACCAATGTGAACGAACATGCCCTTCAACAATAGGTAATAAATATATTTTATGAACAAGTTCATAACCTCTGCTATCTCTCTAACGTTACTTCGACGGCCGTCCAGTGCGGTTTGATGTTTGTTGGTGGGGGCGTCGCGTCCGACTGATGACCACATCATCCTGCAAGCTGGTACGGCCACGTTTCGATTTGAATTTTCTTGTGCGCAGCGTCTAACTCGCATTTAATTTGTGTAGGCTTATTGGATTTCAAAAAGCAAATACTTAATGACCAAATGATAATCAATTTTTTCTATATTTACAAAAAAGTCTCAAATCGATACGTTTAGACGATTGTCAAGTCAAGCAAGCATTGCATGCTCGAAGTGAGATTTTTGAAATAATGAAATATTAACGAATACTTATGGACGCGTAACGCGCAAACATATTTCTATAGCACTTCTAGACATCTAATGGAATATTCATCTTTAGGTTGGAAACTTTTCAGTATATATATATATATATATATATATATGTGTGTGTATATGTCTATATTTACACAGTGCCTTTGACTTGCTATAAATTAAATTTTGCTTCAAGAAATTGTAAATCCCATATGGCAGTTATCCAAGATTCAATCAAAAATGTTTATACCTGTCTGTAGGAAAGCAATTTGCCTTAAAAACTTCTTTAGATAGTTAGTTGATTTTGTAAAGCAATCTTCAATTTGTTTACTTTGTTTATAATTCGTTCTTCTTTTCCTCCGTTTGGCGATTATCTACAATGTATTCAACCTTCACCATTACTGCCATTGCACTGCAAATAAAACATACAACATCTTCCAACAACAATAACCCATGTCATGTGCCAACCGATGCTGCGGCTGATGTTTATACAATTCCCAACACAAACTAAAATAACGCGAACGGATATAAACACACTCAAACACACACGCATACACGAACGCACGCATACACATTGAATTTTAATGAAATGCGTTTGTTGGGCGACACGTTTCACTTGAACATGAAAAAAACAAGATTTGTACATTGGGTGCCACCGTAACCACTATTAAGGTACCGGATGCAAGTGGTCAGATAGACGATATTGTTCTTGGATATGACGATGTTGCAGGTTAGTATTTATTGCATTAAAAATTTTTTTTTTCATTTAGTATCCAATTTCGGAATATTCTACACAATTCGGAATTTTTTTAGAGAAACGTCATGCACTTGACAAGTGTGTTCTTCTTACATACAATGCATGCTATGTCGTTGTACTCGAACAGTAAAAGGAAAACTGAAAAAAAATATAAAAAACTAATCCGACAAAAGTCGACTGCTCTAATATCAATCGCGAGCTAATATATAGTATATTCAGATCGTACATCTGATCTGCCCATTCCCTATACATTATCTATTTCGGCACCAATTTTTTGTTTTTTATTTTAGTTTTTTGGGTTTTTTTTTCGGTAATGAATTCTCTAAGTTTGCGTTCGAACGAATGCTGATGCGGATAGAAGGCAAAATGTATTTTTCTACGCAACCGTTAGGTTACTCAGGCTTATCAAAACTGTGTATAATTTTCAAATGAAATATGTTTGCCGGGTGAGTATAAGATCGTGTGAGGACATGAAGCGTACTTCATCCATATATAGTAAGTGTATGTATTGGAACGTTTTTCTACTTGAAAAAGGCATTTATTGAGAAAACTCGGTGCAATCATCAAAATATTTTCCATAATTTTTATCAACTTTTTCCCCATCTTTCTGATAACATGGCGATACTGTGTCGAAGGAAAGATATTGAATTGGATCCCATATCGTACTTCTTCAGCGTTTCGAATCCGCGCGCTATCCGTCGATCTAAAACCAATGTTAATCAGAAGGCGCTATATATCTAATGAGTGCACTGAGTCCGGCAGCACTTCACATGTTCCATGATTTGGGCCTCTACAGACTGAATAACTCAATAATATTATCTATGAGATCGTTCCTTTATATAGAGAAATGCCAAAGTCAACCTATTTAACCGATGTGCATATTGATACTTCGCGACAGTTTATCATTTCAATCAATATTATAAATATATAGATACATACATGCATACATACTGTGAGGGCTAAATTGCTCATACCAGGGGCTGGGGTAGCTCAGCGGTCCTAGGTTGCTTTCCACAAGAAATTCATACACGGTATGTCAATTTCTTTATAATATTCAACAACTTATTATTTCATGTTTCACTTCGAGTAAAAAATTAACTCCGTTTTTCTAGTTTGCAAGCCTAACGAGACTTCTGATCTCTCGCGACCCTCGCGACCGACTCCCCCTAACTTACTTTATCCTAACTTAACTAGACCTCGGTTTAAAGCTAATTTTACGTAACTAACTATAATTTCTCTTTCCTTAACTTCTCTGATTCTCTTAGCCTAATCCTAGCTTACTCTTAGTCTAACTTGTTCTGCCGGAGCCCTCTTATCCTACTTTAACTCTAGCTCTCTTATTCTACTTGATGCTCTTATAGTAACTTCCACTAACCTAGCCTAACTTAACTCTAGCACCCCCTCCTCAGAGACGGAGAACCTGTGAGGCCAAAACGAGGGTTCGACTTTGGCACCTCACAATACATGCGTACATGCATACATATATACATATAAATATATTTGCATATATGTAGACATGTGAATATATATAAAATAAATATTTTTGCAAAATTTGCAGCGCACATATATGTATATATACATACGTGTGTACAAGAGAAGAAATTCACAATTTCATCTGACAACACTAAGGTTATAAGGAGAAATGATGGGAAAAAGGACGACAGCATTTTGTTAGACAAGTAAATTTTGTTTAATTTCAACTTGATGTTTGAGTGCAACTCAAAGAAACCTGCACTGATTCACCCAATGTACCTAATGTAACATGCTGAAGAATCTATTGTCAAGTACAAATATTTTACATAAAAATTTCATATAAATGAATACAGATTCAACAACATTCGCCTTGTGGGTAAACTAAGATAATAGTACAATAGAGTCAGTTACTGGTGTCAGTCAATGGCTCAGTTTTATATATAGAAATTTTATTCAAATTTCATTTTTTTTTTTTCTTTAAAGTATTTCGTCCTGATTTATAGGTTTTACGAACTGTGTTCGGCTAATAGCTGTGTGAAGATAAAAAAAAAAAAGCAAATATTCAGGTTTGGCGATTTCAAAAGTTTCAATCGTATCCAAATAGGTGAAGTGATGAACAGGCAAGCATTCAAAGTTAAATCAACCTAAAGTCTTCATTACGCAGTTGACGATGTTTGTTTGTAGGCTTTGCAAAGAGATTGATAAAAATGAAATGAATGTCAACACCTCTCGATAATAGGAATAAAAAAAAAGAACAAGACTTTTCGCCCAATAGACGGCTTCAGACCCATGTAATTCTGGCAACTCTAATCGTATACAGACGGCAGGTGATAGTCCGTGGATTTAATCGAAAACTCCGATTACGATTTTCTAATGAATTTATATGCCGAAAAAAATTGATATATTTTATAATGTCGTTTCGGCCAAGGTATGGGAAACGCTTTGCTGACTTGTATTTGACTTGCAATTGACAAATAGGTTTTCCGACAATTGAGATGCTCGCCAATGTTATGTAAATGACGTTGATGGCTGTGTTTTTTTCTTTCTTACGTTTAAAGTGAGCTTTACTTAGTCAAGCGTGCGCCTGCTAAGTCAGCTTTATATGTCGTTAAGAGAGCTCTTAATAGAGCGAAACAAATGATAGTCGGACGGAATGAGTTCCGCGCAGTACGGTGGCTGCGTGAAAACTTCCTAGTCAGCTTTTCCCAATTATTCTGAGATGTAATCTCTCATTGTCATGAGTGTTACTTTAAGGCGGACATATATATGTGACTTTTCTACTGTCTTAGATGATATATATTCCATATTTGGCCTAAAGTAGAGATAGTTTACTAGAAATGTTATTTCTTTCTATGGTATAGAACGATACCAATATATCTTAGATGCATTGGAATTTTGATGCCGCTTTCTATTTTCATTCTGATATCGGCTAGAGACAGATAAGCATAAGGATATCGACTTTAGTACCGAAAAATATGCAAAAATTTCCTTTAAATAATTGCTTTGGATTTGATTCCACAATTCTCGGCAACATTCATACAATACTTGTTAGTTTAGTGAAAAAACTTTTGTAATTTTCTATCCTCAAACAAGCAAAATGTCTTCTTAACAAACACTTTCATCTCGGCACCACTTATTTGCGTCATTTAAAAAAAAAGAAAAAAAAAAAAGACAAATCCTTAACAACAATTTGTGTAAAATATTTTATCCAATTTTTTTTTTTTTTTTTTTTTTCATTCACTCTGGACATTTTATTATTTTCACTACAACGACTACAGATATTGTTTATTTCAAATGCCAGCATTACGGCAAAGCCACTAATTTACACCATTTGCTTCATCCGTGTAATGAAAGAAGATAAAAAAGTAAAAAAAAAAAAAAAACGCAAAAAAAAAATTAGAGAGAAAATGCAAGAATAAAGGAGTTTTAAAGTTTGTTGGTTGCCTTTCGGTTGGCTTTTGGTTGGTCTTGGTGTCAGGTCAGTCACTTGGCTAACCCCAGAAGCATACTCGAAACCAACAACATTAAGTATTACTTAGCAAGAGTAGCCAGAATAGAGAAGAGCAACAAACCCAAAAACTATATAGGGGAAAAAACGAAAACCCAGCTAACCAGTCAACCATCTATAATCAAAAGGCATCTAACCAGTCAAAAAGAGTCAATTCGACTGTTTTCCACTTGTAAAATTTTAGGAAACTGACGACGAACGTTATGAATGCAATGTAAAATGAATATCATCAGATAGACTTTAATAAATATATGAAATGATGTTGTCTGACAAATACGCATGAACACACACAAACAAGCAGCGTACACAATTTTGCGCACATAAATTCTAACAATCACCGTAACGGCGTCATACAATTAATATTATAAGAGCAATAACCAAAGGGATATCAAGCCAAAGGGCATGGGAGAATTTTCGGGAGAAATCGCAGCTGCTTTCATATCAAGCGTAATGAAGTTTCTTTGTTGCTTTACCTTTAAATTTCTTTTGTAGGATATCAAACCGCAACAAATCCCTATTTTGGCGCCACAATTGGTCGTGTTTGCAATCGTATTGCTAATGGTCATTTTATGTTGAATGGTCAAGATATTCAAGTATCTCGAAATTTTAACAATAGACATCAGCTGCATGGCGGTTTTCTTGGTTTTGATAAAATGCATTGGCAGGTGCTTGAAGCGAATGGCGATGGGTTGACATTGCAACATTGTTCGCCGGCTGGTCATGAAGGATATCCGGGCCAAGTTACCGCAACGGTAAAATATACATTGACCGAAGACAATTGTCTGCATGTGAGGATGCAGGCAAAGACAACGAAAACAACGATTGTCAATATGACAAATCATTCCTATTTCAATTTGGCCGGACATGTAAGTATTTCATTTACACCGCAAACAACTATACATATATATATATATACATATATATATATATATTGTGACTGTGCATTGGTAAACGAAGATAGAACAGATTGATACTTATTTGCGTTGTGTTGGCCAACGTGTTATAGAAGCATAAAATACGGAAATAGAAAATTGATAGTAAAGTTGTTACAGTCGGAAGGATATTGTCAAAGTTGTGTTAATTGAAACCTTACGGAAGTAAAAGACAATGAAGGAGAAGACGATGAAGAAGAAGAAGATTATGTAACATTTTAAGAAAATTTCGAGCAAAATTGAAAACCAAAGGAAATATAATACTCAAGAGCTCAACTATACATATATATGTACACTTGTGTATACAGCATGTTATTTAGTACAAGTGGCTTAACAATCAGGTAAGAGATTTAGAAAAATTTAAATCTTTTCGATATGGATTGTGAACGCATTAATTGGCAATAATAATTCAACGTGCGTCCTAAAGTGAGTAGGATTTTTTCAAAATAGCACATTCTCTAGTATCTATCTATCTCTCTCTCTCTCTCTCTCTCTGTGTTTCATCAAAAATACATTCTTCATTAACGATTTATCAAATCGTATTTGGCAATTTGGAGCTGAACTATAGTGTTGTAAATAAGTCAAAATGCCATCAAAACTTTAAAGCAATGCACCAAAGATTAGCCAAAATCTTCATTGAACTTAATGGAAACGGAATTGAATATCCAAAAATGTGTCTGTTAAAAAAATCAATTTTTGTACAGATGAAGGAACATTTGACCGTCCGTAAGTGTGCGTTTTGCATTGTTTTGCACCATTTGAGAGATGACAAAGGATTGTGCAAAGATTACGAAAATTCACATTCGTGATTGATTTTGTTGCGAAAAGTTGCATTTCAACGAATCGCCGTAACTCGCCAGTATTCATCTCATTTAGGGCCGCTTGAGTCTCATCAATTTGAAGAAGGGCATTTGCCAAAGAACGAAAAGCGTTATGTCGTCGTGGAAGTCATCCGAATACTGGCAGTTACAGCGCTTTATAGCGCTTTAGTTGGAGACCTGCATATCTACGTTTAATTCGACGACATTGCCCAATGGTACAAAAACCATTTATGAAGCAAGAGTCGCTTAGCGAATAGAACAATGTCTTTAAATGGTTCCGTTACTTTTCGAATACCAAAATTAGCATATGATTAAAAAGCATTAATTCTTCTCTGAACAAGTGAAACGCATCTAACGCTTTAATATAAAATGATCTCATGACTTTGGGAAAGTTCGCAGCTAAAATCGCTCTTGAATTTGGATTATAGCTGAAGTACTGTCCAGCTTTTGCTTCACACATTTTCAGTATACGAAGGCAAGTATTGACATAGTAATGTCTCGCTCTCAACCACATTAAAATCCGCAACAGTAGTTAACTGCATAGAGAAGATATTCGCTAACAAGCATTATCTTCCGATAGTTTCGGTGCTTTCTCAGGGAATTGTTATCCACGATCTGTCTGATCGTGATGGACTTTTGATAGAATATCGGTATAGAATATATTCATTAAACTCAGGCAGTTATCACTAGGTAGCGCCTCTAAAATGTGCTGTTTTGAAAAGGTCCTCTCTTTAGACGGCACCGTGTACGTGAAGTCAACTTCATTTTTTTATATAATTTTTTTTTTTTTTTTTTTTTTTTTTTAGTCTTATTAATGCCATATAGTTTTGTTTTTATAGCCATATTAACCGCAAAACTAATTTGTTGTCCGAGCACATTTTCTCTGTAACTCTTTCATCATAATTACGACCGTATGACAATCATAATTAAAGTATGGTCTACAACATTAAGGATTGAACTTGCTAGACGACTTGATAGTTGCGTTTCTCAACTAACTTTCGACTTTCGAATGATTAGTTTTATGTATGTTTTCAAAAAACTAAAGTCGTCGCAATCGTTGATAATGTATTGTAAGCTTTTGAAACTATGATTATATTGCAGTAATAGCGAAAGAGGCTGTACGCCCGCTCTCAATTCACGCTTTTGATGTACGCATGATGCATTGTAGGAAAGCAATTATGCTAAGCCCCTGTTCTCATTACGCTAACTTGAACGAGAAGTTTATTAACAAACGGATTGTTTAACTGATACTAAGCTAACTATAAGCCCTTTTTTAGTTAAATTTAAAACAATCAATGTAAGTTTGTATGCAGCTTTCCAATTGCTCTGGTGATGTTCGCTTTACAGATTTCGTCAGTTTTTTGTTTTTTTTTTTTTTTTTTTTCTTTCTTTCTTGCAAACTAACAGACAATGTAGTCACAGTCTTTTTTTGAAAACCCGTTGGGTTTTTGGAAATGTTTGAAATTTTCTTAGCTAAATTTAATCATAAACATCTCTTGTTGCAATTGACACAATCAACTGTTGTTATGCTATTGCCATGCATTGCGATGTAAAGGGTGCTGGTAGAGAAGCAATGCTTGAGCATTCCATTATGATTAAAGCCGATCAAATTACCGAAACTGATTCTGATTCGATACCAACTGGTCGTTTAATTAATGTCGCTGGAACTCTATTTGATTTGAATGAGCCAACGCAACTGGGCGAACGGTTACAGCAATTGTTAAATGGCTATGATGATAATTATTGCGTAAAACTTAACGATAACAATATAACCACAATCGCTAGGTAAGATTTCTCCTGAGAAATGTTTAAATCAACCAATCATATACATGTATATATATATATATATATATATAAATGCAATTGTAGAGCTTATCATCAGAAATCTGGTAGATGGTTGGAAATTGCTAGCAATCAACCGGGCGTGCAATTTTATACCTCAAACTATATGCCGGATGTTAACAAAGGAGAGGTAAGTAGAGACTTGTATCATGCACACATACATAAATAAGTTATTCGCTCAATATGGAAATCGCTAGAAATGATTGCTTTAAAGTATTGGCTTCAATTTTTGTTTGTTGTATATTTGTTTTTGTTTCTAATTAACACAAACATCATAGTATTCTTAAGAGCAAAAGAGAAGGAGAACTTTTCAGCCGTAAACTCCAATCAAACTAATAACGAATAACAGGTTGTAAACGTTCTTTGAGGCTGAATGCAAGTGGTGAGGAATCAACGTAAACTCATATAAATTAAAGTTTTAAAAATTGTGTAAATCTCGCCGCTACCCCAATCCTTCCCCCATCTTTCTCTCTTCCTCACTTTCTCACTTCCCTACCTACCTACCTACCTACCTACCTACCTACCTTTTGCTGCTATTCATGTCTTTTTATTTTTTATTTATGTATTTATTTTGTTTATTTTTTTTTATTTTTTTTTCATTTTTTTTTTCATTTTCTCTTCTACGCTTAACCAAGCTAAAACAATCTGCATTAAAGCAACAAACAGCAAACATCAAAGTGTATTTAAGCTTAAATAAGTGCAATTTATTGACCACTGATGCCTAAATGGCGTTAACTTTGTTATTGCTTTAATGGCCAGCAAACGAGCTAACAACCAAGCATATGAGGAAAGAAGCATTCTATTTTTTTGTTATTGTTGTTCTTGCGTTGTTGTTGCTTTCTGTTGCTGCTTTTAACTTTCATATTTTTCTGCTTGATTACTTGCAATATACAGTATACAGTATATAAAACTGTTCTGCTTTTATGCTTTAAAAAGTTAAAAATAAAAAAAAATAAAAGAAAAAAAAAAAAACATTTTTATTGTTATTACCTACCATTTGTGGATAGCGAGCGTGTATAAGGTCTCATTAACGCCCAACTGATATTTAAACAGTTTATGGCTAATTAAAAGCGTGTACAAGTGATTTAGGTTTCATTGCGTATTAAGAACCGGTATCATTATTAAATAAAAGTAAAACTTTCAATCCTTGAAAGGGGCTTTTACGGCGTTCTCCTTCTCCTTCTCTTTCTCCTTGCTCTTTCTAAATATTTAAAACAAATTTAACTGCGCTCATATTATGGTAAAACGTGCAGTAAGTGAGCATTTAAGTGATTGGTTCCAGTCGTCCTTGCCTTTAACATAAATCTCGTGTATAACAATTTTTCATTCTTTCGTTTCATTCTCAAGAGAACGCAAGTATTGAAGATGAAATTTCATTTAACGGTACAATGTTAGGTTTGAGAAACAACGAAATTTAATTTAAATATTTTTACCTCAAGAAATCCAAGTCTCGCTTGTCCTCTCTTTCCCCTTTTCTACCGTAAGAGAAAATTTCCTTTGTGGTATAAATATTTACAAGTTTCTTACAAATAAATCAATTTATTCTTTTTATTTCTATATATTCATGACCCAGGAAGCGAGTTATACAAAAGTTATTATTCCGATGGCCAGAGAGAAAAAAAAAAAAAACACACCAGAAGATGTCTCCAGGTCACAAGCATAAAATTTATAAGAACTTGAAGCTAGAAGGCTGACGGGCTGACAGCTACAAACTGATTCGAAAATGGTCGTGCATCGTTTACGACCACGCCTACATGCCTAATTGGAGAATCGAAAAAAGCCTTTCAAAAGTGCGAATCTCATGATGAGACGTGAATGATTTACTTTCTTCGTGCATTCTCCTATCGCCTCAGTTTAAACATTCCTGTCAATTCTGTGATGTCAGAGCGATTAGGAGCATCATGCCGTGTCTAGTATTATCTGAATGTGACAGTTGGGCGCTTTAGTATTCAACCAGTGCCTCGTGCGTAGTTTCTCGTAGCTTCTGCGTTTTCGTAGTATATCTTACAAAACTTTTTACTTGTCATTGTATAAAGCCCACACATCTAGATCTAAATACTAGATCAGAAAATTTTCGAAACCGGCTGAATAATAAGAAGTAGGGAGTATTCAAAATTCCTGCTGATGAAGCTAAATATAATGTTCTTACGTGTACATACAATTTGTGCTCATTCCTATTAATCAATAATTTCGTATGCTTCAAATGACTATACGAGGTATACAAATGTGCATCGCAGACTCTCTCTCTCTCTCTCTCTCTCTCTCTCTCTCTCATTTAGTCCTAATTTCTTTCATACCACTCTTGCTTTTTGAGTCAGTCCATAAGTCCAACCACAGAATTATGCAACAAATTTATTTTCATAGCAACAACATCTCCCTGTCAAGCTTAAAAATCAAGTGAAAGATTCGCCCACTAGTATAGTATAGTATAGTATAAAATGTTTTATCGTTTTTGTTAATTTACACAAATAGATCTCTTTTATGGTTGAAATTAGATTTATATAACACTTTGCAGCAAGCAAATTGATGTTATATCAAACTCTTGAACATATTTATCTACCAAGGCTCCTTTTACAAGCCTGCATTCGAATGTCCAATTCTTCGAAGAGTTTTTTTTTTCCACTAAATGTTGCTTAACTTGATCGACGTTGTTTGTGTTACGCTTTACTTTTGAAATAATTTGAAAAAAAAATATTCCAAAAACATTAAATCTCTTCTTCTTGGCCTTGGTGGCTTAATTAATATTTGATTTTTTTCAAATTATTCGCTCGGCCAGCTTAGCTGAGAAGTAGTAAGTCATTTCACGACTCATGGAGTCGTGACGAAATCACGATGAAGGTCATTTCCGATTCAGTGAGCGTTTGCGATCATTTTTAATGAAAATTGGCCCAATGTCTTTCTCTCCACTCGTCCACTCTTTTATGACTCTTTGGGGATGAACTAGTTTTGAGTGAGTATGAAATTTGGATGACGATTGCGTTTTGCATTGATTGAGTAGAAAATGATCTTCATCGGAAAAGATGATCTTTGAAGACAAATTACGCTTTGGTATGATAAAAACAAATTTTAGTTGGAAATATTTTAAATTGTACCGAATTTGTCGGGTCTCTCCTTCATATCACACACTAATCGTTATGACGCAAATTAGGTAATGAAGAAAGTAATTTTGATAAAATTGAACTAAGTCAATTTAGATTTTGGGCTTCTTCCTGTGTGTAAGTAAAGGTTCTCGGGAAAAGCATACCTTTCGTATTAGGCGAAAAATGTTGAAAGGTATCGAGTATTCGACGTTACTCGCTGTTATGTTTCCACCAGATTACAATAGCATTTATCTGACCGAGGGCTTAGAACATGCTTCGCATGCATCGCATTCATTTCGCCTACCAAAATGCCATTTTTTGCATTGGGTATAACCACGCCTTTTGGGTTATAAAGTTACCGTAGTAGAGTTATGTATAAAATTATTACTTTGTTTAACAAAAATATTTAAACGATAGTTTACTGCACAATGAACACGAAAATAAATGGGCAGACCTTCGACAGACACATGGACCAGATGGATTTCAATGATTCGAAATCGATCGGTATAATTAATTGTTAGCCTTTCTTAAGTTCGTGTGAGTGTGACATACATACACACAAATTTAATATAATCTTGTATAGTAAGTGGTATTGATATGCTACACATGGTGTGGTACGATTAGACCAAAAAAGTGTACTTTCTGGCTTAGTTGTCTGATCAAAAAGTTAGCCTTTATCGGGTAACAAAATATGATCGTCGGGTATTTAAGATTCGAGCTTGCCTGATTAAAACTAATTTTGACTAGTTTATGTATAAATTATTATTCAATAATAATAATTAAAATCTTTGAACATTTAATTTAGTAAATTTGCCAAATGACCTCAGCGAAACTTAAAATACTTGCCAACTTTTATTCCACTGTACGAATATATTAACAAGTAAAGCATTCTGGACTCATTGGCGGCTGCGAAAAATTATTGATTCAATTGTAATTTTAGACAATTATGCTTCTAAGAAGAGTAAGAGGAAGAGGAAGAGGAAGAGGAAGAAGATGAAGATTTTTTCATTTTCTTTTTTAAATATCGACATAAACCGATTACTTCCCCGCAATTGTCTAATGCAACATAAGTTAATCTCTTAATAAATATAAAGTTGTGTCATAACTGCATCATCAAAAGAGGGCGAACGGGTTCGAAGAAGACATTTTCTTAGCAATTCAAAGTATCGAACTCATTTATGTTTGATTGGCTTGGTTTGTAAATCCGCATGGATCGTCTACTAGGCAAGAATTGTATCAGTGTTTTATCTCAGTACGTTTGAGTTCACACTTCTCGATTGGGGACACACCCATTAGGTTGCGGCCACGACCTCCCTCTTTCTCCACTATCTTTCTTTTTTCCTCCTTCTTTCTGGGCGTCATCGTGTTACGCGAATAGCGAACGTGTCCCCTAAGTGATCGGTCATATTAAAAAGGCAAAAAAACGCGGGAAAATGATTACATGACTACACACATGCATCCTTTTAAGATTTGCAAATAGATAACGGTCGCCGCAAGCCTGACCAAGTTTGTTCTTGCTTAAACTTTCATGAGAAATAGTGAATACAGACCGCCCTTGGTGTGTCTTTAGGATCTGAGCTAATGCCAACTTTTCGCTCATTAAAAACAATTTTCAGAATATTTTTGATATTTTTATATACTTTTTGGGTATCCTTTGCGCTTGACAATATTGATTATCATCGATAAGCGAACTTTGGATTTTTTTATTGTTTTAGGTGCAAACAGTTGTAGCCTAATTAAAACGAAGAGAAAGAAAGAAAAAATTAGGGAGAAGGGTGACCGCAATCTAGTGGTTAGGCGTTATGCCTTTACCGACTGAGCACACGCTATAGCTACGGCCAAAGGAAATGAAACTCTACCGCACTTGAGATTTGAATCCGCGAGCACTGACTTGAGAGTCTATCAGATATCTGATAATATCTAGAAGACAAGCTGGAGTCGCAATCGGTTATATCTATTGTTGGTTACCATGAATAATGGAACCGATTTAATTTTATTTCTTTACCTTACGGTATATTGAAATTGCGAATATTTTCTTCAAGGACAAAAACCTAATCTCAAATTGTTTTCCATCTCTCTCATGAATTTCAGTTCAAAGATCAGCTAAATAAATGCAAGGACTTGCGAAATTTCGAACATTAACTAAATCAATTCACTAACAATTTCCTTTCTTCCTAAACTATGTCCATAACCGTTAAGGGCTTTTCATTGCATAGATTGACGGTTGGCTATAAATTTTGTTTCCAAGTTTGGAAATGCACTAAAACTCTCTAAGAATTCGCTCATATTTACCGATAATCTGGTAGATAAAAAATTCGGGCAAATCGCGTACAAATATGATATGAAGTATATATACCATGGTATGGTATGCAAAACGATTGAGCTCAGCCACATAGGAACACTTCTCACTCTTATCAGCAGCGCTTGCATTTTTATAATGGAATCCGAAAAATTGGTGTTTTTATTATTAGAGTCTTTCTGTCCGTGGGAGAAGAATTGATGGCACTATGAAGTGCTTTGAAATGCTTTGTTCTTTTTTTTTTCATTTCAAATTATGTGTCTGAAACTTGTTAACACATACACACACACACACACACACACACACACACACACACACACTCGTGCGATGAAGAAGAAGAATAGTTCAAATGTTATTTCTTCTTCTAAGGCGATTGGCGGTTGGCGAGTGCCACATAGATACTTAACAATAAAATCATAAGTTTTGTTATGCGTGTGCAAAAATTTAAAAATCACCTTCAATTTCAACAACAATTGCTTTTCATTTCATGCAAAATGGAAAAAGGAAAGGACGACTCCATTGCAATGTTGTTCATGTTAATTTTGCCGTTACATGACTTTTATATTTTTGCGAAACAAGAATATACCAACCAACTAGCTAACACTACACATTAAACGTCAGGAAATATAGTAAAATAATGTTGGGGTTTCGGGTTCATTTTTAAAAAGTGGCAGAAGAACAGACAGAGAAGACGTAAAAAACGTAACAAGTAACAATGCAACATGTTCACACATATTAATGTGCATTTTGTATAAAATATAATAGAGAGGTTTTTTACTCAGCAACACCTTTTCTCTATTGTTGTTTGCTCTTGGCTGATGGTCGGTCGGTCGGTCGGTCTATTACAATTAAAGTCGAACAACGGTAATAGTTGTTACCATTGTTGCTAAATTACGCTCCCATTTGTTAGTTGAATTATACATATTTGGAGGGTAATTTGTTCAGGAAACACATAACAATAAACTAATAATGAGGTTTTGAAAACTTTCAAAACCGGTTGGCCGTTAACCTTTTTAATGGTGGAATTTTTTTCTCTCTTTCCTTTTTTCTTTTTTTTTTTTGTTTTTTGCTTCTTCTTTTTCATTTTCTCTCCACAACCACGAAATTTAAATATGAAATGTATATATATGTAAGTAACGAACATTAAGTAATTATTGTTACTTTTAATAAGAAAAGTGCAGATGTAAAAGTATAACACGAAACATACGCGCGCAAATATAACGCGAATATCGTTAGGTTAGGTTGTGGCGGGCGGGGGAGAGTAATAGTAATTTAAAACAACAAAATAAAAGGAAATTTTATTCCATTTGAAATGTATCTTGGGTATACATTACCTTAGGCTAATCCTCTCTCTCTCTCTCTCTCTCTCTCTCTATCTCTCTATAAAAAAAAAATAAAAAATAAAATGAAAAAAAAATAGTTCCCGTCATATCGTCAATGCAAAAGTTTGAAGGCATATTCATTTCGTCCAAATGTTTGCAAGATCACAAGATGGTCTTTAGAAATCTTGTAAAGGGCATAGACTTGATCATATCGTTGATCAATATCAAATTCGAAAACCATTTTGTGCAGATATCTGCCCATCCGTCCGCCAGTGTTTCCCTATTTCGTAAACATACTCTCGACCGCATCAACTAAGATATCGAATTTGCATTCGATACAAACATTGGACGTTCATGCTGATGGGTCAAATGAGTCGCTTACACTGCAAAATAAATTGAGAAAACTTTTGTTTTCAAAAGCAAAGAAAATTTCCATTCCATTTCTCGTTTATTACTTTATTATAAATTTTGAATTTTTTATTTATTTTATTTATTTAAACGTTGTTGGAATTGTTTAATAATGACATAAGCAAACAAATGATTGGGAAGGCGAATATAGTCATAGAGCGAAATAACAGATATTACATATTGTCATATATGTACGAGATCGGAGACTCATTGAGGGGGTGATAAGCTCGCGCGTTATTTAGTGGTGAAAATAGTTATGCGTACTGGAGATAGGCACAAATTATATAAGGCAAATAAGAGACATTACATTGATTGACCTTTCGGATAATAGTTCTCGTACATAGATAGAAAAAAAATTTAAGCATTTTTCAGCGACGTGTTGCATGCAATTATGTCTCTTAAGGCTTGCAATTTATGCAGAATTTTTTTTATAAAAATGTTTTTGTTTATTTTAAGTAAAACTTTATTATGTCTGCACCTTACAAAATGTAAGAAAAAGTGATATTTAGCGAGATAGCTGCTGCCCACTCACAGATAACGCCCATTTGATAGACACTTTCAAGTGTTACAAATTGAATGATAAAATTAGTACGCTCTTATACTTCGACAGTTGATATAATAATTTTATGTTATTATGTAAATGTACGTTTAAATATTTGCGCGCATATACAAACACATACACATACATATGCTATCGTTAGCATGATGCAAACAACTGCACCAACAAGTTGTTCATCTGTCCTTCTCATCTTGAAGTCTTGTAACATCTCTGGGAAAAACACATGCATTTCCATGTACGTGAGTGAAGCATTATATATATATATATATATATATATATATATATATATATAAATAGTTGTTGTTATTGGTACAAAAACTACAGCATTGCTTGCACTTTTCCACTCAATATTACGGTGTTTGCTCACATTTTTCCAACTTTGCTTTTTTTTGCATTCCTTCTTACCATAAGAACTGTTTGTTTGCTTGTCGTATGAGTAATTTTATTAAGATTGGATTTCATAAAAATCAAATTAAATGTTACTCATACGTTACGTAGAGCACGTGATGTTTGTTACTTGTGGTTGGTTACTAGAAATCACACAAACACTACTCTTCTTAATAGTGCACAAGAGCATTGAAATCAATACTAACACGCACAGCCACTTATACACTACTTCGCACAGCCATGCGATAGTTCATGACTTTATTGTTAAGAATTTAAAATGATTTGTACAAAATTCTTATTAAATAGAAAAAAAATGTAATTTAAAGGAAAATCCCTTTGTATTTATTTTAAATGAATTGTTTTTTTTTTTTTTTTTCAGATACCACTTAAGGGTAAAGAAAATGCCAAATATGTGAAACAAGGTTCATTTTGTTTAGAGACTCAAAAATATCCGGATGCTGTTAATCATGTAAGTGCTCAAGCATAGCAAAAGCAAAGGATCACTAATAAAACCGTTCAACTTTAATTAAGCTCGAATGCAAAAGGGATAGCTATATAGCTATATAGCTGTAGCAGTGTTTTAATTACCAACGATTGCGAAAGGCCTAATGGTCTTTTCTACTTTTCCAAGCCATACAAAAGCGCTATGTAAATAACATTCGCAATATTGAATGAAGCGTGTCTATGTGTGCGTTTGTTATATGTATAATGTTAAATTCGATATGCGTATAAAAATCATCGAACATTGACTTAAGGTTTGGCATCCTTTTGATATCTTTCAACTAACTCTTCACTTCACTGATCTAATACCAATGAAAATGCTTAAATTGAAACACGCTTACTACATGACATGCTTGTTGACATGTTTATTTAAGCAGAGGTATTCTTAATAGGACAGTTTAGTATTCAATGAAATTATTATTATTATTAATTGAAATTATCTCGCTTTAATTTTTTTTGTTTTATTTTTATTTATTTATTGTTTTTTTTTTTTTTTTTTTTTTTTCTTACAGTCCAATTTCCCATCGATCATTTTAAATCCCAATGAACAATATAATCATGATGTGATTTACAAATTTGGCATTTGTCGCAGTGGCACTGGCAGTTGCATATAAATCGATTAAAATAATTATCACAAAACCAATTTATTTACTATCATCGATTTAAATGCTTTTACACATAACATGAGTAGATAGATATTCAAAGAGTTGCATGAATTGTATAATAAACTGCCAACTCTATGCTGGGTGAATTATGTTCGATTCATTAAATAAACTATTTAATTAGCCGCAAATGTTTTTTGTTGTTTTACTAAAATAGAATAAAGCTAGTATTAGCAACAAATGAAAACAAAAACAAATTACTTGTTTACTGCACACTGACAAAGTATATGAATAGAACAACAACACAACATTTTTTAAAATAGATAAAAATTAGTACTGAACTATAGAAAATGCAGTAAATGCATTTGTGGATGTTTGTTACGAAGTATGTGAAAGCGTCAAAAGAGGAAAAAGAGATTAATAATTGTAAAATGATATAGTTGGGAAACGTCGACAATTGAATACTCTACACTAGTCCGGTTAATGCAATGCTTTATTTATCTTAGTCATAAAATAACAAAAATTGGACCATATTGCCATGTAGGGGCTAACTTCCCACGTTGTCCCTTCTGCCCGTAGGGAGGAATGCGAATCGTAGCGACCTATACAAGCTAAACTTATCCCAGTAAATTTATTTGTTAGACTTCAGCTTTAAACCAATTCTCATCAGATCTTGTTATCATATAAAGGTTTATTACATCCGCAACTGAACGATAGGAGTTTGCTCTTTTTTTTCTTTCTGTAATGCTTTTAGAGACCCTATAAAGTATATATATTCTTGATAAGCGTGAAATTATGAATTGATTAAGCCATGACTGTCCGTCTGTGCGTTTGCGTGGTGTTTATTGTTGGCACTCCCAGCCAGGTTATGTAAGTGCATAGGTTTTTAAGGATATGAAATGATTACTAAAGTTAAATAATATCGCAAGTGATTCAAGAGAGAGAGAGAGAGAGAGAAGTAATCATAGAATCTATCGAAATCACAGAAAGCTTGAATGCTGAAGATTATACCATGTCACAACCGGAAAAGTGCAGTCGTTCTCAGTACCCAGATATATACTCAAAATTCATATAATTCCACATTTGAGTTCTATTAGGTGTTTTCAAAAATTTTAATCAGCGATTTCTACGGATAAAGATGAAAAAGAAATGGGAAATACCGATGTGCATAACAATTGAATTCGATAGTTTTGACCTTCCTCTACATGACATAACATATTTTATTCAGCGTACGCCGACGATAATCATGGAGCGCTCAAAATTCTCTTTCTTCCAAATCCATTACATTTGTTGTTTCTTTGAAGAAATCTATTGCCGTAGCCCAACAAACATGTTCAGAGGCTTATGGTGACGGTGCACCATCATGTCCCAATTGTCGGTTTTGGTTGCGACATTTTAAAAGTGGCGACACGAATTGACTGAAAATGCCATTTCTTGACCACTTGTTGCAAGCGATGTCCAGTATGCATTATTCCAACTCGAATGGCAAGTTCTGCCACACCCCGTGTACTCGCCAAACATGACGCCTGCTGATTACCACTTGTTCAGATCGATGCGGTATGCCTTGGCTGTCACGCGGGTCCGCAAAATTGGATAAGTGCAAAAAGCGATGGCTGAGTGGATCGCTGCCAAGCCTGTATAAGTTGTGTTGCCAAAAATATTGTTAAATGTTGTAGCAAATGATGAAAACTATCTTGATTAATATGTATTGTGCCACTTTTCTATAAAGTGAAAAAGTGATAAATATTTTTGCGAACACTAGCATTAGCTGACTTTGACATAACATCTACGCTCTTAGCAGATAGTTAGAATAGGTTTGAAAATTGATACGATCCGTCTATAATAATCAATTAAAAATTTTTAAAAATAAAAGTTAATGGGTGAAAATTTACTGCAAGTTTTCTCTATCCATTTCTTAAAATGCACAGGCAATGTCTATCGGTCGCCTCGAATTCAGGAGAGAAATGCAATTAAAATATAGCTTAAGGTTTGTTGGGCTTCTTTCACAGAAAGAAGAGAAAATGATGGTAAGCTCAACATGAAAACACTGCGCACTTATATAAAATATACGCTGGCGTAGATCGCTTCAGGCGACATAATAGCCATCTCAATAATAATTATTATGAGTTACCATCAAACACACAGTCACAATGAAAATCTCAATGCTTTCGTTAAGTTAATGCAAGCAATAAGTTAGATCGATGCATACAATGTGAAGAACACTTACTTAGTTAGTTAGTTAGTTGCTTCTCGTAAATTTGTCTCGCATATCATTCACAGAAAATTAGTTACCAAAGTACGATAACGAGTTCATCGAAAAAATCATCATTATCATCATCATCATCATCGAACGCTAGTTGCATCGTTCTTTGATATATGAACTTGGCTAACATATGATTTTATATATAGAATTTAGCTAACACAGCCAACCATAGCATTGAAGAGCTCATCAAGCACTTGCACGAAATTCTCGTACAAAGTGTCATCTCGCAACGTCATGCCACGAAATTGATCAATATAATAAAGTGTGCAAATAAAATTAAGGACGACAATTAGATTAGAAACTGCATGAAACTGCAATTGATTAACAGGACACGTCTCTTAAGGCGCAAAATTTAATGATTGTAGGACGCAAATAAACAAATGTCGTATTTTCTTTTGGCGTGAACAATTTCGCGTGAGAGTAATTTGTACACTTTCAGAGTTTATGCGGCTTCCTTGTGAATTGTTTACGTAACAGCTGGCGTGAGGTAATCCCATATAATTTAAAGCAAACTTTCAATATTTCTCACTATGAAATATGGCAGACTCTTCTCCATTAATAACTTGGAACACTTTACAATCATTGCTATGATCTGTCCGTAAAAGTGTCTCAGTGTCATAACTAGCCGAATCGATAAGAGTTGCGATTATCAAGTCAGCGTTTTGTGGGCACAAATCAGTGCTCAGTGCGCTCAGCGGGTGAAAGCATAACACTTATCGATCGGGCAAGCAACCACTAAGCTGCCGCCATTCCATATCTGTCGCTCATTTCTAATCGCTTTCTCATGATTGCTGTGCTACATGGGTCGTCGTATTGCACGACGCCCTTTGAAAACATTTAGCCTTTTAGATAACTTAATGTTCTATCTAAGCTCTGTGAGAGATTGACAACGCAACACGTTTATCACGTTCGATTCATTTTACTATTTTCCCTTACCCGCTTGCCCTTGTTACTATTAGATTTCGTTAGGTTGATTGTCTTATTGTATATGTACCTTTCAAAGGTTGCCCAAAGCAAACTGACATAGTTTGCACCGATCTCTCTAAGGCTTCTAATTGATTAGATTTTTTATGATTTGCTCATTCAAACATTTTAGTTAAATGATTTTCTTCTTCTCATTGACAACGCGTTGTTCACAATGAATAATAATTTCATTTCGAGTTCCCTTCATATTCGTAAGCGATTTGTTAAATGCCGTACTGCAGCATGAAGCATCAGGTAAAGGTGTATTTTTCACATACAATCAATTGTAAACAAAGGTAGATGTGGTAAAGGTGGTCTTATGAATTTTAATATTATTACATATATGAAAAGTCTATTCACTGCCTTGATTAGATCAATAATATGCTTTTTAAGTTATAAGCGCAACAGATCTCGCGTTGCAATCTCTTATCGTCACGTTACGAGAATTAGGATAGAAACTCAACTATACACTGCTTTCACATACCAAACCTGTTGAAGAGTTTGTTTGTTTCGATGCCCAAAGAGCGTATGCCGAGGCATCGTACCCCTATTGACTTATCGTCGCTTTCTTTCGCTTTAAATTATTTAATCCTTTTTATGTTGCTTCTAAAAAGCGCTACGTGCGCTTATCGTCATTTTTCCTGCATTCATGTAAAATAAAGTTTTTTTTTTTTTTTTTTTTTTTTTTTTTTTTTTCTTAATTAAATGTACAAATATTCATATATACATTTTTATTACAATAATTAATGGTATAAACTTATATTGAAGATACAATGTACTCGCATGTAACTCTAAACTTCATTGCTTTGTCTTAAGCTATTATTGTTTATTAGCCAAATAATCAAATAAATAAATAAATAATTTTCATAAGCCTTCGACAATACTAACGACCTCCTTCTCTG